GTGGAGCCAGGACAGTGTCGTGAGTCCTTATCCTTACCTGGCACTGGTGCCTGTGCTGACGATGCTGGAGTGCTCCACGCTGAGGAGGAGGTACTCGGCGCAGGGTCTGTCAACCCAGGGTCGGATGGGCGGCGTAGTGCTGCCTCCATCAACATAACCTTCAGGCACTGTTCTGTATCTTTTAAAGTCCTGGGCCAAAAGGTCTTACAAATGACACAGCGATCCTTCTGATGGCCCTCTCCTAAGCACCTTAGACACGAGGTGTGAGGATCGCTTCTGGGCATACACTTGCTGCAGGCTTCGCCAACTTTGAAGCCCGGAGACCCTGGCATGCCCTGGTGTCGGGAGAGTGTAGGAGGGGATTCCCCCCCAAAAGGAAACTTATCTAACACTAACGAACTACTAACTACTATCTTTAATGAACAATGGAGAACTAATGGAGAACAATATAAGAACAATGCTGAATGTGCTTGTTGAGACAAGAGCATAGGAAAGTTCCAGCTAACCGTCTCTGGTAGTAAGAAGGAACTGAGGGGATGGCGGGTTGGCAGGGCTCTATATTGAGCTCCATGAAGGCACAACTCCAGGGGGCATCCAGGCCAACCTGACGGATGCTGCTAGGGGGAAATCTTCCTGCTACCGTGCACATGTGCACACACACACACCTGATTGGAATTGACATGAATAAGCACTCAAAGAAGAACTATGAGTTCTGTAATTAGGGGGCAGAAGAGACCTTAATTTCCCTCATTAGACAATAAGAGCTTGCATTATTTAATCTAGGGTGACCAGACAGCAAATGTGAAAAATCGGGATGGGTGTGGTGGGTAATAGGAGCCTATATAAGAAAAAAACCCAAAATCGGGACAGTCTATATAAAATCAGGACATCTGGTCACCCTACATTATTCACATGTTGTAGTACTGACATTTTATAGTGCTTTTATGCTGCTTGATTGAAGAGTCTGAATTCTTTGAGAGAGGGAAAGTCATTATGGATTACATACATGCTGACAGGCCATCTTGCATTCAGGTGATCTTTTCCATTACTTAGGTTGATAGTCCTCTTCACAGTGAGAAGTGCAAGGTTCTCATATTACATGAAGGCATTCTGGGTTACATATGTTTATGGTTCAGATTAGTTTTGGTGGGTGTAATTTTGCAACCACTGTGGTGCAGGAGAGGAAAGATCCATTGTTCTTTTCTATAGCAGTGGATGTGCTTTAGTTCATGGTTGCTAAGATTCCTTCCTTCAGATACTTGAAACAACAAAATTCACCTAAAATATCACATTCAGTTCTGAGCATCTGAACTAGAAGTATATTGACAAAATGGAGCAAGCTCAGAACACAGGAAGAAAAGTTATCAATGGGCTGAAGACCAACTTACCTGGGAAATGTTATAAGAGCTTAATATCTATAAGTTATACTTTATATAAGTTATATATAATATGTCTATGTTAGAGCTTAGGTAAACAATAACAAAGTGGTTATCATGATAGCAGTCTACAATATTTGACAGATGTACAAAGATGTACTTGAAAGATGTACACAGCGATAAGTGAAAGCAATAGTTTAGGGTGGTACAATGTGGTAGGAGTAATGGGATACAATTAAGAAAGGAAAATTTAGGTGCGATAGACTGAAAAACTACCTGGCAATATATTATACTAGTCTATGGCAGGGATTCTCAACCTTTTTCTTTCTGAATCCCAACATGCTATAAAAACTCCAGGGCCCAGCGGGGTGCAGGGGACTTGGGGCTCCATCTGTTTGGTGCGGGGAGTGGCCTTGGGCATAGGCATAGTTTGACTTCTATTTGGGGGGGGGGGCAGGGCCCAGCGGGGCTCAGGCCAGCTCTGCACAGAGTGGCCGAGGGAGGGAACACCACCTCCACCCCCTGACTCATCTCAGCTGGCCACCCAGGCTGTCTGAGTTGGGGCGGGGCGGGGGGGGGAGCGCAACCAAAAATTATAACTCAAAGTGGGGGCAGGGCTCAGCTCAAAAATTTGAAAACCACTCAGGGTGCAGGCGGGGGGTAGCTAGGGGCTGTGTGCAGGCAGGGAGTAGCTCAGGGTGCAGGGATGGAGTAGCTAGGGGCTGTGTGCAGGTGAGGTGTAGCTCAGGGTGCAGGCAAGGGATAGCTGGGGTTGTGCAGTGGGAGGTGTTGCTCAGGGTGCAGGAAGGGGGTAGCTAAGGGCTGTGTGCAGGTGGGGTGTAGCTCAGGATGCTGGGAGGGGGTAGCTAGGGGCTGTGTGCAGGCAGGGAGTAGCTCAGGGTGCAGACAAAATTGAAGAAAGAGAGAGCAGAAAACAATACAGCATTGTATCTTACTCCATGATTAATGGACCTCTGAGACAGAGATCTGACTTTTGATAGGAAGCATTAAAAAGTCAGAGTTCTAACACTGATGGATAGAATCTGAGGCAATTAAGATTGTGCTCTCCCTATCCAATTTTATTTTCCTAAGTAAGTGAGGTACTGGAGGGAGCAGTATATAGTAGGATGTCAGTGCTGCACAGGGAGAATACATCAACAGCCCAAACGCAGCTGAAAAACCCTGGTAGATCAGCATATTTTACTGTACCAATCATGTCCGTCGTAGGCATGTTCTGCGGAGTGTGGCTGGGCTGGAATACCCCAGTCTAGAAACCGCTCCGGTAGACCCTGTGTGTGACTGAGTCACTTCGCCTATAAGTTGAGGACTCCGGGTATATGTTTTGCTTTGATGCAAGATAAATTCTGCTGCTCTTAATCTAACTGGACTGAGCCTTCTTTAGTCAAGGATTTGGTCGTTAGTCCTTGCTTGCTGTACTGTCAGAATGAACTAAAACTGGCTTTCCTCGGCTATGACCCTGAAGCTTTACAAGGATCTTAAGGCTGAGAATTGGAGGCAGTTGATATATGATCTCTTCATTTGTCCAGGCCAGGGATCCTGGGCTGATCAGTGCTAAACTGTGCTACCTCAGAAGAGAGCAAAGCCCTTGCAGGGACACTCTCTTAAGGACTAGCTGGGGGGTCTATTACTAGGCTAGAGGAATCCCCAGCTTTCTTCAGAGTCCTCCCCTGAAGACCCATTCCCTGGCTGGCAGAGACCAAGCTGAAGGGAAAGAAAGAAAGTGGCAAAAAAAAAAAACCTGATTAAAAGAGCATTCACAGAGAACAAGAGAAAGAGATCTGCTGAGGAAACCTCTGCCTCTGAGCACAGCACTAGAAACCTGGGACATAATCTCAGTGCAGCTCAGTAGGTGCTGAGAGGCAGAAATCTGTGGGGAACAGATACCTCTTGCCTCCCTCTGAAACCTGGAAACAGGAGAAACCCGCAGTTCCATACCTCAGGAAGCAGCAGATTTCCATGACAAAGAACCATCAAGACTGAACTTGATAAGTTTACGAAAAAGATGGTATGATGAGACTGCCTACAATGGCCTGTGACCCATCTGCAACTGCTAGTAGCAAATATCGCCAGTGACCAGAGATAGGACACTAGATGTGGAGAGCTGAGTTACTACAGAGAATTGTTTCCCAGGTGTCTGGCTCGTGGGTCTTGCCAACATGCTCATGGTACAACTGATCACCATATTTGGGGCAGGAAAGGAATTTCCCCCCAGGTCAGATTTGCAGAGACCCTGGGGTTTTGGGCGGGGGGGGAGATTTGGGTTGGGTTTTTTTGTTTTTGTTTTTTTTGCCTTCCTCTGCAGCATGGGGCCTGGGTCACTTACAGGTTTAAACTAGAGTAAATGGTGGATTCTCTGTAACTTGATGTCTTTAAATCATGGTTTGAGGACTCCAGTAACTCAGCCAGAGATAGGGTGACCAGATGTCCCAATTTTATAGAGACAGTCAGATATTTGGGTAGCTCAGTGGTTTGAGCATTGGCCTGCTAAACCCAGGGTTGTGAGTTCAATCCTTGAGGGGGCCATTTAGAGGTCTGGGGCAAAAATCTGTCTGGGAATTGGTCCTGCTTTGAGCAGGGGGTTGGACTAGATGACCTCCTGAGGTCCCTTCCAACCCTGACATTCTATGAGTTTAATGTTATATAGGTGCCTATTACCCCTCACCCTCGTTCCGATTATTCATACTTGCTGTCTGGTCATCCTAGCCAGAGGTTATTGGTTTATTACAAGAGCGGGTGGGTGAGATTCTATGACCTGCAGGAAGTCAGACAAGATGATTGCAATTGTCTCTTCTGGCCTTAAAGTCTATGAGTCTATGTATCTATCTCTTTAGTTAATTGAGCACACTTAACATGGAAATCAGTGGACATAAACATGGAACTACATGCCATTGTTATAGTCACCTTTAAGAGTAGAGGCTCATTTAATGATCTCTTCAGTATCTTGGTAAATGAGAAAGCAAAACTCCTGCCTAGCACTGTAAATACTTTTTATTGTAACCCTATGCCTACCTAGTCCTGTGCATAAAAACAGAATACAGAAAATTAGGTGAATGAGATTCTTTAAAGCTTCTTGGACAAACTGTTTGGTCTGATTGGGAGTGGTGGGAGAGTTGTAGACAGGAGGGATGTCAGAGGAACTCTCCCTCTCCCTGCCTTCATTAGAAGGCGCACAAAAACCCACTTCTCCTCATGGGCAGTCCAATAAGGAGAATGAGCATAAGCAGTGCAATGTGAACAGCACTGCATCTTGTCTGTTGGAACCCCTAGCTGGTGAGGGCAATGGACAGGCTAAGCACAAGGTTAGAATGGAGAAGTTCAGGGAAAGTAAAATTTGGCATGAAGGAATTGAGAAGGACTGCACTTGAACTGGATGCCAAAATATGCTGTATCTTGACTGGATGCATTACCTGAGTGAGGAAATGAAGGGAGCCATGAGATGAAAAATACTATTTTTACATATTTTGCTTTAACATGAATTTGTAATTTTAAAACCTACCCTTTAAATTTTGTTTATGATCTATCATAAGCTACTTTTAAAAAAAAATATCAACCAAAGAAAATAAACCCTCTGTTCACCTTCTAATTTCCTATGAGACAGCATACTTTTACCTTTCGCTTTTTTCGAGGGGGTGGTGGAGATCTCTTAACTGCATTTCTTCTTTTTAGCAGAGGAGATTTTGGTAGCACGGGAGTGCTTTCATCAGCGTCATCATCTTCAGATTGCTCTACCTCTTCTACAAATTCCCCTATCTCACCATGGCTATCAAGACCTCTCCTGAGAACAGTTTCTTCAAGTGTTCCAACTTTTTTATTTTTTACCAATATTTTGAATTTTAATGCCTGTGGAAACAGTAGAAAGCATCATAATGCATTTAATAATACATTTTCATATAAAAAAACTGCAACGCCTATTCTCAAAATGTATTTTATAGATGTAATTTGTTTTAGAATTATGGGTGCTGGTGGGGTGATGTTCACAAACGAGCACTCTAGAGTAATGGACAACCAAATATCTTACCAACCAAATTATCTTTCATGACAATGTAAGTTTTAGAGAACAAAAAAAACTGAGCATAACAGACTACTCCATACAATAAGGAGAAGAAAGGTAAAAATACAAATGAAGTTTGCCATCATGCAAAACACACCAGTGCTGGAACAATGAGCAAGAGTGTTGTAAGAAGAGAAGTGGGTATTCAGCACCCATCTACCAAAAGAATGTGATTGCCACATAGCAAGGGCAAGCAAGAAATTGTTGCTCCATATTGGTGCTAGGTACAAGTCAGTGAGAATGTATTGGCTGAATGCCAATGGCAGCACAATAGGTGTGTACGCATATATGTGAACATAGATGATATTGTTTATTAAGCTTCACTTTGTTTTTTATAAATACAAATGCACACACATATGAGAACAATGCTTGTTTTGATATCTGACTACACCTATGGAAGTGGTTCTAGCTAAGGAAGGCAGGAATTTTGGTGCCCTATTTGCATAGTACACTGCTGCCCTGTATACCAAGCTATGATCCTACCATTACTTATTTTCATATGTGTATAAGCACAGCAGGACCTTTTTTTTTTATCCTATATCTTCAATAAAGTTAACTTAATAGAGCTCAGAGTCTTGATACTTAAAGCTCACCAAATCTGCGGATATCTGCTTTATATCTGCAGACCATGTTGTGGATCACGAATCGGATGCTGATACAAATTTAGGGATCTATTGGTACCTAAGGAAAGTGTCATTTTTTAAAGTATACAGTACCTAAAAAATTGATAGCTTTATTATTTCTGACAGAAAAAAATAGACAAAATTTCAAATTACAGAATTTATACAGATATACAAAACGTACACAGTCAAGTTTCCAATGATAACCATTATCAGACAGCAAAAATGGTATTACTGAACTATTACTTTGTAAGCAGAATGACATTCATTTCTAGGTAAATGGCAGCATCTTACTTGATCAGCATGCCAAACTATAAAATGTAAACTATCAAAAGTCTTTACACGTCTTAGTGGTTGTTATACATTTCCCTTGTTGCCTTACTAAAACCACTGTACAGAGTTAAAAAGAATTAATTTTGATAAAAGAGTATCTATTAGTGGGTCTGAAGAGTAATTCTGCAGTTAAAAACAGGCAACTATTTCATATAATAATAAAGAGTGTTGTAGAACCATGTTACAAGCAGGTTTCTTTTAAGTAAATAAGTAATATATAAACAAAATGAGAAGGCTGTAGCACCACATCTTCAGACAACCATGAACCAGAACATTTACATAAATTTGTATTAAATGAAAAATGGAATTTTGGCAAGGGCACTAGGGTTATCCCAAGGCCCCTTTCTTTAGATTTTGCTTCTTTTCCCAGTAAATGTTCATTAGCTGAGTGAAGAATGCAGTATTATGTTGCTAATATGATCACAGATTACATAATAAATACAAAGTACTTATGAAATTAAATTTCGGGACAGATTTTCCAAAGCCCTGGCATCCACAACTGGACCCAGAGTTTCCAAATAACTTGGCTCCCATTTATGCCCTGAAGTTAACTCCTCTGATTTTCAAAAGTGCTTAGCACCCAGAGGCTCCCACTGAGTACAGAAATCACAAGCCATCCCATCCAAAATACAAATCCTCTCCAGCAGGCAGTCTTCAGAGGGGAATATTGCAGCTCATTGGTCATGTGGCAAACAAGAAAAGAAGAAGTGATACTGCTAAGCACTGAGAATGGGGTGAAGTTCAAAGATAACCTAGGCATGGCCCAACACCTAAACAAATACTTTCCCTCAGTTTTTAATAAGGGTAAAGAGGAGCTTAGTGGTAGTGGCAGGGTGGTTAATGGAAATGAGGATATGGAAGTAGTAATTACCACATCCAAAGTAGAAGTCAAACAGTTCAATTGGACTAAATTGGGGGACCTGTATAGTCTCCATCCAAGAATATTAAAGGAACTGGCATATGAAATTGCAAGCCCAATAGCAAAGATTTTGAATTAATCTGTAAAGTGAAGGGTAGTACATGTGACTGGAGAATTGCTAATATAGTACCTATTTTTAAGAAAGGGAAAAAATGTGATCTGGGAACCTACAGTCTTGTAATTTGACCTCAATTCTCTGCAAGGACTTAGATCTAATTTTGAAAGAGAAAATAGTAGTTAAGGACATAGACGTAAATGGTAATTGGGATAAAATACAACGTGGTTTTACAAAAGGTAAATCATACCAAACCAAACTGATTGCTTTCTTTGAGAAGATAACAGATTTGTTTTAGACAAGGAATTGCAATCTAATCTACCCGGATTTCGGTAAGGCATTTAATACAGTTCCACATGGGAAATTATTGGAGAAAATGGGGATTAATATGAGAATTGAAAGTTGGATAAGGAACTAGTTAAAGGGGAGACTACAATGGGTCACACTGAAAGGTGAACTGTAAGGCTGGAGGGCAGTTACAGTGGAGTTCCTCAGAGATTGGTCTTGGGATCTTCTGTCAGGTGTATTTGATCTTGAGAATATGAAAAATGAGTGCTAAGACCTTTCTGCTTCCATTCCCTATCAATGTGGCAGCATGCTTTGGTCCTCTATTTACTACAGTGAGCGGTATTACAGAAATGTGTTTAACGACAAATCTTTCTCACAAGTATTCCTCAGGTCCTGCATTAGGCATTTGAAGGATGATAAACGGAAAGCTTATAATGAGGGCAGAAGTTCTCTAGTCTTACTAAGAATGTCGAAAAGGTCAAAGAGGTGACCGGTTTGGGAAGCACACTACACTAGATTTCTACTGACTGTAGTAGATTGGGCTTCTGTGCAGTCAAGAGTAGTAGTGGACTAATAAACTGGACTAACTGCAGTAGACTGTAGTAGTGGACTTCTACTGTGCAAATGGTGAGTAGTGCTTAAATTGTTCCCTTTTTAGGTTAAAAGATTCACCAAAGATGCAACAAGAACATATATTCTTCTCTGAGAACCTTACCAATGAAGTCTAAGATTTCTATTGAAACAAAAAACCAAACAAACCAACAACAAAAACCAAAAGGGAGATCCTGTTTATTCAGGGTAGACATGAAATATGCTCTGCACTGAGTTTATAGAGGTAGTGGCCACACATAATCCTTAACTTCCAATTTCCTCATCACAGTGGCAGCCTTATTTAAACATAATTGGTTTGTTTATTTTCTCACATCAGCACCACAGAGCCTAATCTTCATTTAAGGCCATGTCTACATTAGTGAGCTCACAGCGGCAGAGCTGCACCAATGAAGATGCGCTGCTATAAGATGGCCCATGTAGTCGCTCTCCTGTCGACATAATAAAGCCACCTCAACAAGCAACTCTATGTCAGCGGGAGAAGCTTATGTCATTCAGGGGGGGTATTTTCACACCCCTGAATGACATAAGTAGTAGTGTAGACATGTCTTTAGAGACGATAATGTCCATATAATCTCTACAGTAAAATGGTCATCTTATAACAGTCATTATCTTTATCTCTGTATATAGTGAATTGATACAGAGAAACAGGATTTAGTTAACCCCTTAGACCATGAGAGTGACATAATTACATCACATGTTTCACATGAAGTAGCAAAGAATTCAGGGTTTATATTAATATATTGATTAATTATTATATTAATATATTAATAAAGGTCTGGGAAGGTTGTGAAAACATATAAATACTTACACATTACATAACAGATAATTGAATTTACCTGTGATTCAAATAGTGTATTATTAAGATACCCATTAAGAAATACAAAGTGTGCATAAAAAGAAACATCATTTACACAAACTGTAGCATTTATGGTAGCAAATATTAGAGTTATAATTAAGGTGGAAACAGGCATTCCATTCTAAATTCGAACTTTCAGTTGCTGACACTCTCCTTTTCAACAGGGGTATTTTGTTTGTAGGATCGAATTGTCAGAGTGCAAGGGGAAGAGATAGCACATTCTTAATGTTTACCACCCATGCTCTAGCGTTGCTGATATTTCTGCAGAGTTCTGAATTTTTTACCATATATTAGTATTTCTAGATATTTTAAAACAGTTGTATACACTTTTGGTCATCTGTTTGTTCAAATGTTTATAAAGGGGTTTTCACTTCATAGATCCAAAAGGGAATTGTCATGCTTGTATTTATTGATATTGTATTAATTTACTGCACCTTGTATATAACTTTGCTTTAACTAGAAAAAATGAACCCAAACTTAAACGTTGGTGTTGCGACTAGCAGCTTCATAATAACAGAGGGTCATATTGTGCCATCACATTTTAAGCAGAAGGCAATTGGAGGTTTCTTTATAGACTGATGGCACAATATGGCCCAGAATGAAAAAGCTCTTTTCCATAGGCACACGTCGTCTGAAATACCTTGTTAAGATGATAGTTTCATCTTATCAAAGAGAAATGATGACATTCATGTTGGTTTCAGATAGAATTACAGAAGGTCTCTCTGGTCAAAAAGAGATTTTGGTACAGTATTTTGCAAGATCACCACAAACTAATAAAACCAGAATCATCAATTGCAAAAGATATGATGTTTTAAATCTAAGGAACAACAAATACAAAGAAGTGGCAAAAATGGAGTACTGTATAAGTAGCTTGAGTACTCTATTTAGATTATCCTTACATAAATACTTTCTGTGCAGACCTTCAGTTTCATGTTTGAAACTACACAATAAGATTATCTACTATGTTTTAAACATTTTAAAAGTATAAAATTTACAGCAATAATGATACAGGCTGTGAAATAGAGATACCAATACTAATTTAGAAATCCTTGGTCAATAAAAATATATTTAAAGCCACACTTTTCTACCAGGATATGTGCCATTAA